CACTCAGAACTGGTTTTTACCCTTTCTTTAGGCCATGTATGCGGAATTGTAACAACCAACGGGTAATTTTATTTTTCAAACTGGGAATGCAGTTTTATAACAATCACCTTAAACTAAACTCTGTGGGTCAAAGCCTATAGCTACTTGTGATCAGAGAATCTGGAAACAGCATTAGCTTTGTCATCCTAATTTCTCCAATAACATGTCAGTCGTTACATTCTCAGTTTTGGCTGTAATCTATTCTGTTTGTGCATGCCTAGTTGTAATAACGAACAGATAATTATAGTGTGTTTTTCAACCAGGATGTGCAATTTTACATAAACCTTTATCGTGACTAAAGTCTTTCGTGGAACATACTTATCATTAACCCATGAAGCTAGAAAACAGCCCTGTTTCTATGCCATTATAATTTCTAGTAACTTGTTAATGTTGCGCGATACACTATCAGCTTTTTTAAAAAAAAGTATATTTATTTTTGTAAAAACCAACAGATAATTGTGTGTTTTGTGTTTTTAAAACTGTGTGCAATTTTACAAGCACCTTTGTACTTATTAAACTCTATCCAAGCCTATACCCCTCGGGGCGGTGCTACTGACTGAAGGTGTCTTTAGGCCATTCCAATGAGGTTTGTTTTAATAAGTTCCAATAAGGGCCATTCCAATAGGGGGAAAATTAACATCTCGCGAGTTCTTATGCATATTAAAATTGTAATTGTAAATTGGCAAATTCACCTATGCCATGCTCATAACTGTGCCTGAACTGCATGCAAGAGGGAACAGCTGCTTTTTCTTTTCTAATCCTTACTGTCTTCATTTCTCCTCTACTTCTTTTGTATGTTTGTCACACTCTTGTGACCCGCTATTATTTCCGGGGTGCCTTGATAGTCGAAGCAGACTTTGTGCTGTTGAAGCTAGAGAGGTGAGCAGAGTAAGTCTGATTCCCTGTATGGACTTCTCTAGTCGTTGACATCCACCCTTTGGCGCTCATATGACCTTATGCAGTTGCGAGCGCCGTAAAACCTCTACTAAAACAAAGATCCAAGCCATAGTTGTCATCTGAAAAGCTGGAAACAGCCTTATTTCTTTGTTTTCCTACTTTCTTCAGTAACTTGATATGTAGGTCGTTGCACTCTCAGTTTTGGTAACGATCTTTTAAAAATATCTTGTGTATACATGTCAAATTGCAGCAACCAACATTATGATTGTGCTTTACAAAGGCTACTGAGCCTTCAATTTTACAATAAGCTCCATGGACTAGACTCTGTTCAAGCCTACTTTTGATCTGATAAGCTTGAAACACCTTTTTTCCCGTTGTCATCTTAATTTGTTTCGTAAATTGTTATGATGGTGCTGTCAGTGACAGTGTCACACACCCCCCCCC